TCCAATATATATTATACTGGATATGGACCCGTGCGTTGCATGGGTTGCTAGTCGAAATTATTATTCTTAACTTTTATTTTTATTTTTGTAAGAATAACTAAAATTATATAAATATAAATATTTTAGGTAATGCAGCATTTTAATTATTTTTTAGTATAGATTTATAATGCATATTGCACAATATAAAACACTATTTGTAGTTCTGTTGTACTAATTATTAAATCATCTAATATAAGTATTGGCCTATTTATAAAATTTTATATTTTTTTTGCTTATTATAAGTTATGAAGTCATAAATATTCATAGGTTGTATTATTGAATTTTAATAAGTTATTTACATCCATCGGAAGAGTGTATTACATCTTATAATTTCAATGTAGGCAAGATGGAAATAAACTGTGACAATAAGAAAAGATGAAATTATATAGTTACGTGACATTGTCAATTTTGGCTCATATTACCCATTTTTTCGTTTTCTCTTTTTTCCTTCCTCTCACCGGCGAAAAATTCTCAAATCTCTATATTTCTCTCATTAAATTTCTCTTATTTTTGTTTGAGCTCCTCTTTCTCTCTCCTTCTCTCCCTTTTGTTCCACTATCTCCATTTTTTCCTTCGTGGGATATCAGCACCGAGTCTCACTACTCTGACCCACCACCACAAATGAATCTGTAACGCCCCGACCGTCCCCTACCAGTGGGTACCACGTCCTCTCTCGGGTCCATGGGCTCACCATTGTCCGGCGGCCGGTCCGCTACGTCCGGGAGGCTTTAAAGACTTGTTTACCGACCCTACAAATCACCACATGATCTTTCCCCGTGTTTTTGGCCTCACTCACACGGTTCCGACAATCACCTCCCGGAAGGTCACCCATCCTGAAACTACTCCAGCCCAAGCACGCTTAACTGTGGACTTCTCTCAGGACTTTTGACCGAAAAGATAAGTGCACTTTGGTGACATAGGTGGCCAAATCAATTCTCTTAAACCTCTCCGCATGCACCACCCTATTCCTGAAACTGGGGTGTTACAATTCACCCTCACTAACAGATCGCAACGTCCTCGTTGCGCACCAAGACCGTCACCCCCAACGGTGTGAGCCCTCTTGACTGCACACTCGTTTTGGGTTCGGCTCTGATACCACTTGTAACGCCCCGACCGTCCCTACCAGTGGGTCCCACGTCTTCTCTCGGGCCCATGGGCCCACCCTTGTCCGACGGCCGGTCCGCTACGTCCGGGAGGCTTTAAAGACTAGTTTACCGACCCTACAAATCACCACATGATCATTCCCCGTGTTTTTGGCCTCACTCACACGATCCGACAATCACTTCCCGGAAGGTCACCCATCCTGAAACTACTCCAGCCCAAGCACGCTTAACTGTGGAGTTCTCTCAGGACTTTTGACCGGAAAGATAAGTGCAATTTGGTGACATAGGTGGCCAAATCAATTCTCTTAAACCTCTCTGCATGCACCACCATATTCCTGAAACCGGGGTGTTACAGAATCTCACTACTATCACAATCACCACCACCATCAATACCGAATCTCGCTAATTTCGATCTACCATCTTCATCAACATTTATCGCCGCCACCACCACCGTCATAAACACCAACACCACTCTTATCGCTTCTTCTCCTTTTTTCCCAACATCTCTTATTACTCCACTTTCTTTATCTTCTCCGACATCAAGCAAAGCCTCTCCGACAACAACTCTAGTCTATGTCAATCGTCGTTCATAATTCTTAATTTGCCTCCATTGCTAGATATTTCTTGGTTCTGAATATCACATGCTATTTTTAGAAAACCATCGTGATTCACAGTGTTTGTTTTTATAATTGACATGATATATTTACAACAAATTATAAATGCATATAATTTTTACATGATCATGTTATTTTTTAAAATCACCCAATCACCACCTCCATTAACCATCAACCACCACCATCATCACTTCCATAACAATCACATGTTATTCCTATTTCTTTCAGTATGATATGCTATTTTATTAAATGACATTGTTGGGTGTCTCTATGTCGTCGTCAGAATTCTAATATTGATTTTTTACCTTCAGATTTTTCTTGTTATTAGTATTTATTTCATGTTTTTTTTCTCCAAATTAAAATACACAATTGCATATTTGTCTTTTGTTTGAGAGCGATTTTGAATTTTCACATATCTGAAAAACGTTAGTTTCCAAAACTTTTTTAACTCATGGCTATTTCTTTAATTATTTTTGAGTTAAATGTTAGTTACTTACATTATCCGAAAAATACTTTATAACCAAAAAAAAAGTTTTACCAAAAGAATGATGTTAAAATAACGGTGATATGTGAAGAAATTAGTTTGCTTGGTGTGAAAATATGAGACAACTTATTATTTATATAAATGTGATTATTTATATTAATGTGATTAGTTTGCTTGTACAATTATTAACTTATAAATAATAGTTTAGCATAATTTTATAATTTTGTTTTTATGGAAAATATACATATAATTTTTTTTATACGTATAGTTTTCTTACTATGATCTAACTGTTTCAATTTATAATTTTGTTATAATTATTTTTTTACAATTTTTAAGTTGTTAAAAACAAAACTTTTGGTTGCTAGATGGCAAAATCTCTTCTTAATATTTATATAAAGGTGATTATTTACAATCTTTTTTTATCAATAATAACTGATTGTATAATTTTCTTAATCTTTTTTCTATTTAAATTTTTTTTTTTGTACAATTATTAACTTATAAATAAATTTTAGCATAATTTTATAATTTCGTTTTTATGGAAAATATACATATAATTTCTTTATATATATGTATAGTTTTTTTACTATGATCTAACTGTTTAAATTTATAATTTTGTTATAATTATTTTTAACAATTTTTACGTTGTTAAAAACAAAACTTTTGGTTGCTATATGGCAAAATCTCTTATGGAAATATAGGTACAATTTTCTTAAAATTCACAATTTTTTTATAATTATCTTTTTACCTTTTTTATTAAAAAGGAAAATTTGTTTGATATATGGCAATATCTGAGATCGAAATATTTGACACGTGTCAAGATCTCGTGAGTTACTAACTTTGAAAATCATACTTGATTGCTCGAGTAATTACCCGAAATATCTAACTGTTAGGTTGTATATTCGAGGTCGATACACAAGGACCAAAGATACTCTAAGGATTTCCGAGACTCGTTCTTAGCTAAAGCGGAAAGTTATTTTGTTTGGGTTTTCAGATTGTAAAATAAAAATGCAAATAAAATTAAACGATTTAACTTTCAAGATTTAAAGACATTAGGTATTAGGGTATTTCAGATTCGCATTATCAAACATGTTCATTTAGTTCACAATGCGTCCTAACTTCAACTTTCGTTGGCTAGAAATACATTGCTCAATTCACATTCTTTCAGACATTCTATCGAACACTTTTGATGCATAGAAAAACCTAGAATCTACAACAGGGTGATCAATCCTGTTCTAGCATTAAGAACATGTGAATCAAAGAACCTAGAGAATGAGAATTCCAAACAACAATCAATCCATTAATCTATTGAATCTCCTAATTAGAACCTTAACACCTAATTAAAAGACTACTCGTACATGACAACAGAAATAACACAAATAGATGTAAAGGAAGACATAGTTCAATTGAATAGAAATGAAATAGGGTTTAGAAATCTTCTCCAAATTGTCAAGAATGAATGAATCTCTAATCCAAAGTGGAGTAGCTTACAAAAGAGCTCTCAGAAAATTGCAGAAGAAAACGTGAATAGAAAATTAGGTTTTTGGGGTTTTTATACCCAAGTACAGAAATAGGAAGACAAATCCGGTTAAGGAAAACCGGCTCAGGTCGTCATGAGAGTGGATCGATCGATCCAATGGGTGGATCGATCGATCCAATGGGTGGATCGATCGATCCTCAGCCCCTGGAATGATCACTTCTTGACGGATGAGGGTTGGATCGATCGATCCCCTCCTGGGATCGATCGATCCCATGCTACTGGAACTTTAGGCTTCATCGTCACAATTGGGATCGATCGATCCACGCCTTGGATCGATCGATCCCCAGCTCCCGGTGATCTCTATACCATTTCTCCATTGTTTTAGCTCTGAATAGGCCCAATTACTCCAAATCCCGCTCGAACACCTATAACCTGCAAAGGACTCAAGACACAACCGAAAAAACGCAAAAGACGGATTATGACGCGACAGATGACTCAAAACACGGACTAAATCAAGACTCGAAACCGTTAAAAACGCAACACATCAATACTTTATAAAACATTTTTCTTCATGTATATATATAAACATCTATGTGATTAAGATTATTTTAATTCGTAAATAATCTTAACTTTTTTTGCTGTAAATAATGAAAACAAATTAAATAAAACTTAAGAAAATACAAACGGTGCTGACATGTTTCTGGTGGGATAACAACCCCAAGAAAATGAAAATGTCGTAGGCTTTGGGATAAGCTTTCTTTGCCCAAACAAGAAGGTGGTCTTGGTTTCGGCGAAACTAAAAATTTCAATGACTCCCTACTAACGAAAGTTAGTTGGAGAATCCTCCAAAACCAAACTCTCTTCCGGGACAAGTTCTCCATGACAAATATTGTTCTTGAATACCCTTTATGGACTGCTCTTTCTCTTTTATCCCTCGTACTGCCAATGTGTTGGCTGACGAGTTAGCTAAACGTGCACTTTCTGCACTTGTTGTTTCCTCCTCTAATGGAGAGTAGATCGACCTTGTTTTAAGTTATTAATGAAATCCCTCTTTGACCAAAAAAAAATAGAGACAGAGTTCTTGTTTAATTGTTCTTACACAGGTATTGAATGGTTTTGAAGATCAGTCTACAATGGCATTGTGTAGAGTTTTGTTGGCTATTTTATGGAGATTGCTGCTTTGGTTCAAACAGAGATCCCCCTCAAAAGAGTTTGAAGAGAGGTTATTTGGATCAAAAGATGGCTATGGATTACCTGGCTTAATTTTCCCATGGATAGTTCTTTAACCCTGCAAACTTTTACTTCTAAGTACTATAGAGTTTGGTTTGAGGATTGCATCAGTTTCATCTCCCTTCTTGTAAATACCATGTTTCTGCTTTACAATCAACAGCTTAACACACTCCATTTATAGAAATGTTTGTAACAGTGTAATAGAACCGTCCTCCTTATATACTGAAGTATCAAATCACACATTTATGATACAGTTTACAGAGAAAACGTAGTATTATTAGCTAGGAACCTGTGGTGTGTGATTCTTCAATCATGGACTTCGCAATCCACAAGAGGCCTGGGTCATTTCGTTTCAGTACCAAATATGGCTCTTGTGCTCCCGTTCCTTCCGATACCATCTCTTCGACAAAGCCAACAATCGAAAGTATCTCAACCGCAGCTGCAAAACATCCCAACAAAGACAGGTTAACACAGATATGTCATACACAATCTGTTGTGAGAAGATGGAAAAAGTAACAATACCTGTGAAGTTGAGAATGTTGCGCTTAATTGCAGGATTTCCCTGAAATGGCATTCATGTAGTTGAACAGATCAGACAGACGATAAAATAACTCAAAGGAACCACATATTATATCAGCGGCCTAATGTGTCCTCACCTTACGCAGCCTTTTGAATTTCATTTCATTTGGTTGTTCAATGATGTTCCTGGACCACAATAACAAATAGTCATATCTTCAGTCACAAAACAATGACTAACATCTGCAGATACCCTTATAAGTTTCCAAGAGCTGGCAAGGTACCTCACTATTTTGAGAAGCATTTGCAGCACATTGGTTGCTTGACCGGGGCTAACTTCATTTTTCAAGGCATTTATGGCTTTCTTGAGACGGTTAGAGATGATGGTAACAGAGTCTTGGATCCTCTGAATTTCTTGATCATCTGGATCCGGCTCATTAACCTCCATGATTGTTTCCCTCTCTGTGACCACCAGGTTATAGTCTGGATATGGTTCTGCATTTATAGGATCAGGTGTTTCCTGCTCAGCTTCATCTGCATTCAAATTCCCACCCAACTTTACAGTGTCATTTGATATTTTCATATTTTCAACTTCCCCTATACTTGTGTGTGTTTCTGAGTCATCCGGATCAGGTTCATCATCATCTTCAGTAGGATGGGAAAGATCACTTGCCATTTCATATGATCCTGAGTGATGTTCAGGTGCAGCAGATGCATCTCTAGGATTTGATGGGATCCATGAATGACCTAATTCGATTTTGGTTGCATCATCTTCAGTGGTATCATCGGGATCAGGCTGTTTATTCTCATCACGAACATTAACCAAGTCATCAGGATCAGGTTCTTCGCTGAGTTTCGAAACACTTGTGTGGGAGAGACGGCGATAAGCAGCAGCAACAGACGATTCACGAGCATTTCCAAGATTATCAGACTGGTTTCCACCAAGCCTTTGAGAAACATTTTCATTTTCATCGAAGAAGTAGTCTTCCTCATCATCGTCATTGATAAATTTTGTTCCATTCAAAGTGTGACCCCTTGATTTAGTCCAATCTAAGCTTTCAGCTTCTTTGTTCAACTGCCACACAAATACTCATTCATAAAATCTCCACCAAAAATAAATTTGAGATAAACAATAACATAAACCTTCACTGTTGTTTATATATTACCTGGCTATCAAGAGCATAAAAGTTTTCATCATGCTCCGTGTATATCATGTGAGCCTGACATTTTGATTCAGAGAATATTAGCTCTCAAATTCAAATTTGTGCAGAAATGTTTATAGTTTTCAGGGATAAGAATTCAAGTCTGCAGAGTAATGAACTTACAAGCTCATGCAATAGAGTCTTTTTTATGCTCTGATACTTTCTGAATCCCTTGAGATCATCAGTCCGAAGGCGTAGAGAAATCTCCTCTCCTTGATTCTATATCAGCCAATGCAGAACATTTGAGAAGTAGAAATCAGAACTGACTCTGGAACACACAAAAGAAGTGAGTGTGTTCTTATAGACAAAACATGCATACCTTGTTAAACCCCAGAAGGCATCGTGGACTAACACCAACATAACCAACTGGGGCAAGTTCAGTCATAATCCCTACTCTCCATCGATGCTACAAATATTAAACAGAATCTATTAGTACACTATCGATAAGTGGACCGTTGCATTATAAGTTGCTCATAAATTTAGATATAACCTTGTTCATAACAGCGATAATACCAGGGTCAGCTGCAAGCATGTGCATTCTCTTTAAAGCAGCAGAAGGGGGAGGGTTTAACTACAGGAACAAACATCACATGTCAGCAGAATTTGAATTCGTTAAACGGTCAAATTATCAGGAAACAAGTTCATCGAATTCATACCACAAGTAATGTTATGGCAAAAGATACAAAATAGCTAAAGTCTACCATGACTTAATCTACCTTCAGCTAATTCAATAGAGGGAAAATGATGGCTACGTTAACGTTTGGCTACAAAAATGTAAGCATATTAGACATGCCAATTCAGAGAATTACTTACCTCTATACCCGGGAGTTGAAGAGTGCGGAAATCACAGAAGATGTAAGGCCCCTGTGGAAGCTTGATTGAAGCGCTTGAAACATACTTCTTTTGCCTAAGCCTTCTCTCTTCTTCCTCAAAGCCAATTATCCTCATGTCAGGCACTGCCTCTTTTAAAACTCCATCAACCTCTTCTTCAGACACTCCCATCATTCTGATAGTTTTATCCTAAAACAAAAAGAAAGTACCAAGAAGAACTATATTTAAAACACATTTGACAAGTTTTGGAAAATTGGGTAATGAGACGAAACTCATAAACCTTGCCTGGAGCTGTATCGATATTGCAACACAATCAATGGTTTAACTGATAGACTATAAGTGACAGAAAGTAACTGATTGGTTAATGGAAGCTTTAGGTTTTGTTCTTGTGTTCTTGACTTGTTGATTGTAACCACCAATTCATGATCAATTAAGGAACAATCGTTTCTGTTCTTATCATTAGTCTCAAGCAAAATCGACCTAAGGAAATGAACAAGAGTGAATTTTTTCCTACTCTGCTATATATCATTAATTTCAATGTACCCTTAAGCTATTACTAAAAAGACTAATGGCAAAACCGACTTATCTCTTAGCTTTAGGTTTCAGGACAACAAATCTATAGTGTTCTTGTCTTGTTGATAATTGTAACCACCAATTCATGATCAATAAAGGAAGACACTTTTATGTTCTTACCATTAACCTTAAGCAAGATCTACCCATAACAATGAAAAAGATTGAATTTTTGCCTACCTCGCTACACATCAATGCATTAATTAAGCTATAACTACAACACTAATTGCAAATTGTGATTTATCAAATCTCTCCAACTAATCAGACAACAATATTTACAGGACCATGTCTCAATCAAAAACAAAGACTAACCTGAATTATGTGTGATTCCTGCAAACTCAAGCTCGAGTGTTCATCAGAAAAGGGTAAGATCAATCTTGATCCTTTTTCATTCAACCGAGGAACGATCAAACGGAGAGTCTCCGACGTAACGCCGGTTAACTTTCTCAATTCATAACCTAAATCCTTGAGAGAAGCTCCACAATCAATATCAACAGAGTAATTGTTTCCTTTCCAAAGAACAGAAACTCTCATTGGTTTTCTAGAATCTTCCATGCGATGAGAGAACTCTAAGCTATTATTATCGCCAACGCCCATAGATTAGCTAAATCTGAAGCACGAGAATTTGTGACGAAATCGAATCATATAGCTGATCAAATTCTTCAATTTAGACAGAACCGCAAAGACTAGTATGTTAGAACAAATCTATTATCCAATGGACTTGTTGAAGAAGAAACATAGATCTCTCTCTCTCATGATACGTATGCACATACGATGAATGACGTAATCGAAACTACATGTGTAGTTCGGTTTCGGTTCAGTTGCGCTCGGTTTCGGTTCGTTCGGATCAGATATCGCGTGATACAATAACCATTCGGATATTTTAGGAATTTTGGTTCGGATCGATTGGATTATGTTTTGGTTCGGTTGGGTTCGGATGTTTGAGTAGATAACCGTAACTAATCAAATTTTATCAGGTTCGGCTTAGTTTGGTTTTTTATCCAAAATAACTGAAATTAACCAAAAAAATTACAAAAAAAAAACGAAAAATTAGACAGTAAAATTTGGTTCAATTTTGTAAAATATTCTTTAATTTGGATATGTTGCTTATATAAATTATTTGATTGTTTTGATTCTAAAAATAATTAATATTTTGAGTTTATAATTATAGTTTTGTGTATTAATTTTTTGGTATTTACTAGGTTTTTGGATATTTCGGTTCACCGTTTAGTTTGGTTTGATTTCGATTAGTTTGGATAGGAGATTTCACTAACTATTCGGTTATTTTATGAACTTCGGTACAAATATAGTTTCTTTATCGGTTCGGTTCGGTCGGTTATATAGTTACCGTTTTTTTTGCCGAGGCCTTTCATACATACAATTTTAGAACTGATTGTAGAGGTAATATTGGGTAAGCTCTAGATTTTTAGTTTTTACCCAATTTGGATATAATGCGTCAAATATCTGAAGTTGGTCCAAAACTAAGCTTATCAGCCATATAAATTTGAGAAGTAGACAAAACAACGTATCCAAACAAAAATTTCTCATAAATATATCAATTACGGTAAAACTGGATTCTATGAAAATCAATTTTTATTAGAAATGGCATCACACATATAGAAATCAAACATATAAATATTTTATTTCAGAAAAAAATATTTTGAAATGTTGCATGTATTTATATTGAAATAAAAAGAATAAATATATAAAGATATTTACATTTCAGTATATAAATATATAAATATTCTATGACTATTTTGAAATAACTTGTAGTCATAGAATGGATATCTTAAAATTGATTTAAGATCAAGATGATATGTTTGATTGAATAAGTTACATAGTCATAGAATGGATATTTCAAAAATGATTTAAGATCAAGGTGATAGGTTTAATGAATAAGTTACTTACTCACTATGTTGCAGCTGATTTGTTGGTGAATATGAGAATATTAAATTGATAACTAATACACAAAATTACACAATCTCTATATGAAGTAACTCTCTCTAAATCCTACCCAAAAAAAAAAAGTAACTCTATCTAAAACATGCATGCCTTAGCAATATCACTAACATTCACATTCGGAAAAAAAACTCATGTTTAATACAAAAAAGTTAAGCTTCGCTGTCAATCAAAAAAAAAAAAAAGTTAATCTTTGATTCTCTTTGATTATTAATATAGTATCTTTTATAAACCCTTTTAAATCAATGACAACTCATTTAACCAAAAAATTATCAAATTTGTTGTTGATTATGGATATTCTAACCTAATATAAATTAAATACCACAATCCCTATATAAGTAAATCATATTGTACTCCAATAACATTCACAATCAACAAACACTTTCCATAACCTTCTATAATATTCAATCCTCTCAAGAAAAAAAAGAAAAGAAAAAGGAAGAACTATTTGTACTCATAGAAAATGGAGAACAAAAAAATGGGCGTATTTTTGGTGATGATGTTGATGATTGGAACCCTTATGGTTGAATCGAAGGCAATAGAAAATACTCCAGTCGTTTTAAAACAAGATCCTATATGCTATCTTAAATGTTTTGAACTGTGTCTTCTTAATCCAATCTTTCTAATCAAAAACAAATGTCCTGGAAAATGTGACAAGAAATGTGTGGTTCATTTTTCTGAAATAATACCAAAAACAAATCGACCAAATTGATATTTCTGCAAAACCGGTTGTGTTTCTATCCAATATCAAAGTAAGTTTATCGCAAGCTTAATCTTCATTTAAAAGTTTAATATGGCTCATAAAGCTGCTTTTGTGATGCTTATATGTTTATATAATACAATATTATGACTCTTTTTAGATATTAATGTTTATCTTTATTGTTTTTGTTATTATATGTTATGAACAGATGTGGAGAAGTATGCAGCAGCATGTATTAGTTCTTGTTCAAAAATATGCAATAAAAAATCTAATAGTAATAATAATTTTTTTTAATTCTTTTTTTTAAAAAAAATTGTTTTACTTTACATTAAAGACAATAAATCTCGCCGTTTGTGGAGATCTTATGATGTATTTTCAACCAACAAAAATATATGATGTATTTTCTATATTTACTATTTTTCTTATCTCAAATAATAAAAGCTTTAAGTAATGTGGTAAATTTATATAAAATATAATATGAGTAAATAAAGTAAATCTGGTGGCCTAAATAAATATATAGTGTCACAAAATTTGTAGTTCTCAAAAAATAACAAAACAATTTGGTGGGTATTACTGTATTAGCCTGCTTGTCTTCTCAACCTAATCTTCTATAGTATATTTGACAAACAATATACAAAAAATAATTGCAATATTGACACATGAAAATAAATTAGTCCGAAAGAGAATTCGACCAAAAGAATAATAATCTATAGAGAAATATAGCTAGACAGTTTGAACCATTAAAAATTATATATATATATATATATAGAGTAGAACCTCTATAAATTAATACTCGATAAATTAATAAATATTTCTGGTCCCGAGTCGGGCAAGTGTAAAAAGTAACCAAATTCTATAAGATAATAAGTTTTTTGAAATCCCTATGTAAAAATGTAGTCCCAATAATATCATAAATTAATAATCATGTAAATTTATATAAATTAATAGCCAAAAGTTTTTGTAAGTTTCAAATTTTGAATATGCATAATTTTTGTTTTAATAGCCGTATAGGTTTTTAAAATACAAAAATGGATGTCACTATTTGTGAATTTTAATTTATGTATATCGTTTGTATATGTACATTCTATAATCGTTGTTATTCATTGTCAAAAAAAATTATTTTCTTTTCGAAATATTAAGTTTTTAAGTCTAAAACTATAAAATTTATAACATCCAAAAAATTAATTTTATTTAGATCACATTGCTTTAAAAAAGTTTTCACTATTGAAACAGAACTTTCTATAAATTAATAAATATTAATTTATGCTATAAATTAATTAAATATATAATGCTCACTATTTATGAATTTTAATTTATGTATATCGCTTGTATATGTAAATTCTATAATCGTTGTTATTCATTGTCAAAAGAAATTATTTTCTTTTCGAAATATTAATTTTGAAGTCTAAAACTATAAAATTTATAACATCACAAAAATTAATTTTATTTAGATCACATTGCTTTAAAAAAGTTTTTACAATTGAAACCGAACTTTCTATAAATTAATAAAATATATTATAGTCCCAACATTATTAATTTAAAGAGGTTTTACTGTATATATAAATTCTATATTGTGTGAAAACATTGGACACTAACAACAAAACTACTTGTTCCAAATAACATCTTGTTGTTGCATCGAAAAATATAAATGTTGAGTAATCTAACACTCAATTTGGTAAAATGAAATGGTTGAATAATTTAAAAATTAGATTATTCGAGAATACACATTAAATGCGAAGATTACACATTTAATTTCTGGTAGTAGATCCATAATCAAAAAAGTATTTGTGATTGTTTCAGAAGAAATGAAACAAAAGATCTGTAGAGCTAAGACAGTTATTGTATGAACATTATGAGCTATCCCGCAATACTTTCTTCTCGGTTCCTTCTATATATGAATTCACAATATTAAATGTTACTGTTTTCTGCCTAAACAGTTATATTTCGAGTTTAGACCGGTGATAAACTCGATTCATAAACAAAAATGAAACTGGAAAGGAAAAAAAAAAAACTATATTTCCCACCAGTGTTCAACAATAAAAAAATGTCCAATAAATAAAATAAAATAAAGTAGACTTTCACAATTCAAAAATAAGGTTTACGTACACAATGTAAAACTTGCGTACCAAAACCCTCTTTGTTTGTATACATCAAACCTTGTTCTTCTTTCTTTCTTTGGGTTTCCTTTGTGCCAATCAAAACTTCAATGCTCAAAACTTCACGCAATAAACCAAAAACAATGATCAAATTCAAACGCGTTATGCATCTTTATTATTCTCACCATCAACCTCATCCTCATCCTTCTCTGCCTTCGTCAGCAATTCTTGGTCTTGGACAGTGGGACTGGACTCAGAAGCCCCATCAATGGACAAATTGGAGATTTCACCAGCAACAGAGTTTGCGTCGCCATCATCAGTGGCGTCTTCTGAGACAGTAGACTCTGTGTCTGATTGTTGTTGGAGGCTCCAGTACATGATGCTGGCTGCCAAAATAAGCATCATCTTCTGGTTCACCTGTTTTTACGCAAGTAGATTTGAGTCAGAGAAACCGGAAAAACAATCAAGCCTGTTTCAATAGGTGTATCTCTCTTACCTCTATGATATCCTCAGGCAACAAGAATATGGAGCATCCGAGCTTTCTTGCCACACTGATGATGTATGTGGCATTCAACTTCTTATCTTCCTCTGTTTAAATGCAATTACAATCAGATAGAACTCACGCTTTAAAACAGTACTGACAATTGAAAAAAGACTTTACACCAGAGAATAAGAAGCACCCAACAAAAATAGGCAATGAAGTTGAAATGTCATAATTTTACCTGTTTCTCCATTGGTAACGAGGCTCCAGTTGACAACTCTTGGCTCTACCGCACTAAGAAGTTCCAGAAAGAACATTCCACTTGACAGATTCTTGTCCTAATATCAGAAAAAAGCAACCATCAAACTGTTAGGTTTCTGAAGATGGGTCTCCATGAATCACATCCGTACTTGGTTAACACTTACCCTGAAGCTATCAGCCTGACTAGTTCGGCCCCCTCTCTTCACTTTCCTATTCGCCCAGTTAAGAATATCTACATCTGTAATTTCTTTACCTTGCGAGTGAGATCTCAAGTTCCTCAGAAGTTGGAGCATTGTATATCTCATTAGTTGCCACAAAAAAGCTGCAGAATCAATGATGGTACAAGTAATTACATGCTACTACCAATCAAAATCAACTTACTATAGCAGATGCAACTTTCAAGAGGAGAAAAGACAGAACAAAACAATAGTAACAGTTATAAATGCGAGAGCAAAATCTTAAGCTGATGAGTCTGATATATGGAAATGAATAATCTTATCAGTGTGCCTTTTAGGAGAACTCACCGAGAAGAAGTTTCTTATTTCCTTGCACAATGTCATTCCCAGCTACATTGACAAGGGAAAAACGCAGTTCCTTCCCAATCTTTATAACTTCATTGCAGTTCTCAACCTTTTTGAATGGCATTTTTATGGGAGGTTTATTTGCGTGTTTCCAGTTGACCGAGCCAGGTGAAACTTTGTCGAGAACTTCAAGAAGAACCCACCTGAATAAGATGAGGTTTAGATAAAAGCAGATAAAAAAATAAAATGTCATCAAACAAATCTCCATAGCTCACCCATTCCTTAGATCCTCAAAAACATTATTGACATAAGTGGCTGTGCCAAGACTGTTAATCCAGAGGCGGAAACATCTCTCTTCTCGTGAAGTTTCCACATCATCTGTCATCATCTCAGCAAATGATGTCTTTGAATCGTCAACAGTCAATCCATTCCTGCAACAAACAAAATAGCACTAGTAACGTAGCAGAACAGAAATCATTATCAGCTTTTCTCTTACTCATTTGGAAACTCCGTAAAAACACTAGCAGAGACATAATCAAATGCAAAGAATGCCACATTTTATCACGAACACCATTGGGATTTTGAGATAGCTAATAATCCAAAAACCACTGAGAAAATGGACTCAAATTGTTTAAAGCAGCCAGTGGCTACAGACCTGTGCTGAAATATTTGCGCCACAAATGCAAGGTTAAGATTTGCTGAGCCGTCCACTATGTCTTTAGGAGAAAGGTATCGTTTACAATCCAGCTTCTCAGCCTGCTCAAGAACCTTTTTCGCTCTTTCTGTGGGGTCTTTGGTCTCCAATGCCACATGTGTACTGTGTTCTGGAGCAAGGGCATTAAGCAGATATGCATATGCCTCACCGTCCTGAAAACAGAAAAATAAGCTGATGTTATGATCAACAAGAAATTGGACTTCATAACCTTTTTAGTTGCTAAACAAATCATGAACAGGTACCTAAAACAAGGAAAATGCATCACTGTCAAGACTGTTATAAAAGATATATGTTATTGAGGACAAAGAGTAGCAAGGGCAAGTTACCTTCACATCAGAAGAAAAATTTGTAACCTGCTTTTCATAACCAGCTTTCTTTAGATGGAAATTCATCCATTTTAGCAAAACTTTTTCGGGAGCCAGTCCCATGAGCTCCTCCGCATCCTGCATCGTTATGAAGATTTTATGTTGTTTCAATATCATGAACACAAATCTTCAAGGAAAGCGTTGAACACGTCAAATATATTTACCTGAGTGTCGTCTACCAATTGAAAAAGCGAAGGCGTTTTCTTAAAATTGAGATCAGCCAACATTTGGATCTGATATTTTGCACCAAGAACACGAAAAATGTCAGTTAGTACGGTTTATAACAAGTCAACATTAAACAAAATGTAGCCATCATATGAAACCTATAAATGGAAAAGCTTAAGGTGGGTACCTTTATAATCTGAGATATCAACCCAAGTACGAGATATGGCTGCAAGACAGAAAGAAGAAGGAAAGGACCAATTAAAATTGAAAGATCAAGCAAAGAGAGGAACAAAAGATATATGTATATCATGTAATTACTCACTCTTCCTTCAGCTATGTCCTGTGTTCCAATGTTGACCACTGTGCAGCCAATAGCTTTGGCAGAATTGAGACCTAAAGTAAGGTTCTCATTCCTCTCCCATGGGTTAAGCGTTTTCTTTGTGTTGATAGCTCGTTCATCGATGGTCCCAGGAACAGCAACATTTATAAGCTTACTGCCAAAAAGTGAGAAAGATGACTACTAACAAAATTTCACAACTAACAGTAAAAATCAAGGGCCAAAGTAAGAATATACCACAAAAGAACACCATCTTTAACAAGATCAAAGAAAGCATTTGTTGCGGGATCAATAGGAAGATAGCTCTTCAAGAAAGGATCATCTCTCAAGTAATTATTGATATGGGAAACATAGGAAGCCTTCTCGGATTCATTGATGGCATGATGAACCGTTGTAGTACTGGTTTTGAGGAATGAAGAAGAACCTTTAGATCCTCCTGTTTTTTCAACTCCTCGGGCTTGCACACTTAAAAAGGCCTATCGAAATCATCGATACATGTCACATAAAAACAGGAAAAAATGACTTCGTAATCATCTAAAAAAATCTTCAGACTCGTAAGTACAAAACTTACCCGAAGAAAGGTCTCAAAATCGACTTCATCATCAGCATTGGAATAAGACTTGTCCAATACAGATTTGATCTCATCCTCATCAATGGTACCGTTAAAAGCTTTCAACTTGGAGAACACAGGTGGTAAATCTCCGACAGTGAAACGCTCTAATTGAGTTTTGTTCGAAACAAACTAAAAATGCACAAAAGAAAGAAAACTTTCAACACAGGTAATGTAATGATACTCCTGAATCAAAAGAAAAGATGCGATCTTTGATATATACCTTAGATTTAAGGGTACGCAATTCCACTTGTGTAAATTGGCTTTGTAACCATGGATCAGAGACAAGAACACCAACGTAACTAGACATTTTCTATCGATTTCTCTCCGCAGAATCAAGACCAGATAGAGAGACAAAACAAATCCCTGCAACATAAAATGTCTTTAATCAAACAGGAACCAGAAAATTTGTACACAAAAGACCAAACTTTTGACCCACAAGATCATCAAAATGGCATCGGCAATTCGATAAACACGCAAAGGAACGATTTTGAGATAATTATGGCGTTGATAAATCGATCCGATGTAATGGGAAGAAAAGACGATGATCAAAATCAAAACTTTAAAAGAGAGGAGACGATGGATAATAGACCTTAGAGAAGATTCAGAGATTGAATGTGATTCGTGTTCATATTCTCTTTCTCCGGATAAAGTTTTGATCTTTGAAGCTTAAAAGAGATCTGTTTCGAAATAATGAATTTGTGTTGAGTTTTTCGAGCGCACGACCTGCGACGAAATGGAATGATATGCCAACGAGACAGAGATAGAGAGAGAAGAAGGTGAGGGTTTCTATTTCGCATTTATTTTTGTTAATTAATTTTAATCATTATTAAAAACAAAACAAAATTGTTGAAAAAAAAGAAGAAAAAAAAGAAAAAAAAGTGGTCTAAAATCCCCATTTGAGAACTTTTAAATCTTTTGAGAATTAAATATATATTAATAAATTGAAATAATAACTTTTCATGGTTTTTCACAGAACTTTTTTAGCTGTTGAGTTTCTACCCGGAGATTCCAAATCCGGGTTCAACTGAAAAATATTATTTCAAATTTTAAATGAAAATATATGAATTCATTTATTTTGGATCTTTTGAAGTCAAAAGGTATGATTACAAACTTTACATTTATTTGGATCTTCGAGCTTTCGTTGTCTTCGTCTTGTCGATCAAATATAATCAGTGATCTGTCGAATCATTCAGTCTAAAATTATATGATCAAAGTTTTTACTTGATCATGCATGTGTTCCCATCTTCTCAAGAAAATACATTGTTTGTATTCTGGATATGGTACTTATGATGTGGTTGGTGTTGTAGACATATTTTTGTGTGATATAAAATTTAGATTCTCATATTCTGGTTTTTGTTTCATGATTAATTGATTTTCTTACATAATTTTTTTTATTGATTATCTCATTTACATAAGAAGACTGTAATAGAATTTTCATTTTATAGACTACTCTAGTTGGAAATCAAAAGAAGGTCTTAGATTTCTTTCTCCTAACTCTTTTTGCTCATGTTATACATAGAGAATACTTGTTAATATTGTGGTAATTGCAAGTTGATCGGGAGTTCATGTCTTTATCCAGGGGCGGAGGCACCATGTAGGTAATGGGGTCAGCGATTGTTTATGCACTTGCGGTCTATATTAAAGGTAATTTTATTCGCAATAATAGCCTTGACATCAATCGCATTAATTCTTCTTTCATTATTTTATTAATAAAACAGAAAAAATTGTTCCACTTCCCCATTACTCTCAAGGCGATTTTCCACTTCTTTTGGATAAAGGTAACTCTTTCCTCTACCTTCTCAGTTACTTTGTCATTTTTACTTTTATGGACCTTGGTGTGAGTTCATTGAAAACACATAAAGTGGGTAAAAAGACTACAACGAGACTTGAAGTTGAATTGAAGAACTTAAGGTATAATGGTTTTTCTTACTAAATATGATGTTAACGCTTACAAAACTAATTCAATAATAAGATATATTTTGTGTTTTGTAGTGTTGATCGTTTGTTGTGTACTCTCTAGGGACGATTTGCTGATACTATGTGGGTTGCATGTGAGAATGCAGAGGATAACAAGGTGACATGTTTGATCCAATTAGCTAAGATCAATTCCTTCAAAGGTAAAAACAAGTGTTTTAAATCTAGCTTTCAAAAATTTAACTTTTCTGTAAACTGTCTTTATAGACATCTTTGTTTTTTGGTATATGTGAAAGATCAATACCAAATGCTTTTAGTATATCTTTGTTACTTATCAATTCAGACAATATCACAGTCACAAAATTTGCTCCATGGTATTATTTTTAGTTTTAATCTTGATGTTTACTATAAATATCATAGAGTTTATATTTTATCTATAACTAAACTATATTTGTCACTATTTATTTAGTTTACCAAATGATGGACTATCATTAACAATTCAGGAAAGTCAATCTAAGGAAACAAAAATTGACAAAAAAGTTGAGTATTTTAACAAGTTTTCTTGAAAAATAATTTTTGAAGTGCAAGAATAAACTGAGGTAATGACCAATATACTTGTTTTGTATCATAGATTATTTTATTATACCTAATTGATATAGTATGATTAGTAAGTACTAATATTTTTAAATTATTGTATTTAGGAGAAAAGTATATGCGACTGACATGAATTATGGTTCTGTTACATTACATGTAATAAGTGTAACAAGATTGCATTTAAAGTACAAGAAACGAAAAAAATGAGATTCTATCCAAATCCAAGAAACTTTTGTTTTTAAGTAAAACGTGTAATGAGAACCATCCTAAAATTACTCTAAGGTAATGTTTTTAAAAATACATTTTAGTGTTTTGAAATTAATTATTCTATGTGGTTGACAAAAAAAATTTAACTATTCTGTTTTTAGTAAACTTATTAGTTTTCTTCAATTATACCAAATATACATATTGTTTAGGTACAAGTTGATTCTAAATATGATAGATATTACTGGTGAGACAAAGTGTATGTTTTTCACAATAATGCATCCAAGATTATGAACCAAACGGTCGATTACATCTTATGATGAGGTAAAAATATATTATACATAAATGAATGGTTTTAAATAATGTATTATTAGACCATTATTATTACGTATTTGATTAACTAATGTAATTATCTGTGTATTCATTTATAGATTCAGGATCCGGCAAATGTACCTAAAGTTTTGAAGAATTTGGTGGTAAAACTTTACAGTTCCTGGTCAATATTGAGAGGATAACATCTATGATACCTACAATGTATCCTATGTTGACATAGGTAATGATACATATCATCTTGATAGTATTGAAGATTCGGAACTTACCGTTGATTTTAATACTTTGGTTTCTAATGATCATGTAAAATTGAAACATAGCCATTTCAAATTATTTTAATTTTATATAAGCGATTTTTGTGAAATAATTATTTAAATATTTGAATTTTTTTATAGGATCAAGTCATTATAACCAATAGCTGTGAGACCGATGAAGCGGTAGAGACTACCTCGACCACTCTTTCTTCTAAGTGTAAGGACAACATCATTGATGATGGTGAGAAGTAGTATTCCTTCATTCATAAAAATTGGTGCGACTTCATTTAATTATGTTATCAAGAAGGAAGCTTTAAAAAGTTGAAAAAAAAATCTTTGATGAAATATGCGTAAAATTATCAAGAGTTACGTTTCGTAATTTTATTCACGTTTTTCTTAGGATTCTTATTTCCAGTTTCATATCAATTTTTAAGAATAACTGCTTAGGCATTTTAAAAATGAGTTGATTCTGGTATGGCTTCCGAATCAATAGAAAAGAGCTAAGCTTCAGCGACATATCATAGATCTGTCTCATAGAACCCCAGATTGCTATATATATGACCTTGAGGGTCTCTTGTATGCACTTTCCTACTTTATGGAGATTTTTTTGATGCAACATTCCTCCTATATGGAGCGAACACTTACTATCCCATCCTCCTCTTTGGAGAGAAACTTCTCATCACTTTACCTTGTTTGGTCCCCAGCTTGGAAGCTGAGTGATTGATCAAGGCTCCTAACAGCGTTACTACTTTGTGTGGTGTATCTTGTGCCGGCGAGACCCGTAGCTATGGAATACTTTGCAACGTCATGAAGTCATATGACAATGACTAACTCTTCACTTCACGAAATACTCGTGGATGTGTTTCCGACTACTCTTTGGCTCGCTTGTGGCAAGTTGGTCTACACCTTCTGTCTCCGAGATCATTTGATCATACCGTCGTCGGATTATTCTATCTTTCTTACTGTTGTTGTTTCAATGGCGTTTAGCTTTGTTAATTTAAACTTTGAGTTTGCGAAACTCTGCTTATGTAACCACTTGATCTAGTAATGGAAACAAAGCTTTTGCTCAAAAAAGGCATTTTTAAAATGTTCATTTTTGAGTTTTTTCTTAGTCAAAATTTATATTTAAAATACTATTTGTGTTACTGCACTATCAATTAGTTTGAAATTTCTTTTCCTTTTAACTTAAATATGGTGTCACTAACCTCATCTTATTTTGAATGTGGAAGCATTTCTATCTACAAATAATATTTAGCATATCAACATCTCCTAAAATCTATATATAATAGCAATCTCAATAAATGCCTTTTGCACCTCTGAACGGTTGTATCTTTTTATTGCAACCATTCGTTTAAATATTTACTGTTATTTTTTTTTCGGTTGTGAATTTTTAACGCATCTTTTCGTTAAAATATTTACGATTATTTTTTTATTGTTGTGTAATTTTATTGCATCTCTTCGTTAACATATTTACGGTTTTTACAGTTATAATCTATATTATTAATTGGGAATCACTCAAACATAAGTAACCTTATTTTGGTAGATTAATTACAAAGAATGCCATTGGTATTTTTGAATTTGAAAAAGAAAAAAAATATAATATCCATTTGATATTTGTTTTTTTATATAAAACAAAATCCAAAATTAAATCAACAAATTAATAACTACCCAATATTTATGGAAATTGTTTGAAGTAGTTCCCATAAAATAAACAAATTAATAACTACCCAAGATTTATAGAAATCTTTTAAAGTTGTTTCCATAAAAAATCTAACTATTAATTTCAAAATTGTATTTATGTAAACTTATTTAATTTCGTAATATATTTTGAAATATTTCCGGAAAACAAAAAAATCAATTTAATATCATCATATATTTTTTATTTTAATTTATTTCTTTAAGAAAATGTACTAATAAATTCTGATTAATGGAAGAATTTCTTTTTGAAATTGTAGATATGTTAACTTATTTAATTTGGCAAGGTAATGTTAGATATTTGCGGAAGCGACAGTCCAATTTAATATAATTGAAAAATAACAAAGCATAGTTTATTGTTGATTTTTAAAGTTTCCATAATAAAACTATACTAATTAATTTTGATTAGTTTAGATGGAAGAAATAAATAGCAAATTTGATTATTCTAATGTTTTAAGAAACAGTTATTATATTTCCCAAATATAATATAAACTAGATATTTTGTATTTTGAAATTTAGAATATTCCGTGAATAAATTAGAGATTTTAAATTCGTCAACGAAATATTTTGTGATTTGAATGCAATTCATAAGCCCTAGACAATCCAAACTTTCATCTCATGTTTTGATTTATTTTTAATTAAATATAATAATTTTAAAAAATCAGTAAATATATATTAGGCTAATAAGGCTTTATTAGTAGCCTATAAAATGTTGCCCACTACATAAAAAATAACATATGATAATATAA